TTGGGGGTATGGGTTTTGATGATGATGAAAAGTATATGATGAGGGATGATGTCTGCATGCGAGGTGATTTATGCAGTGAGGGGCAGGGCGCAGGTTGCAACCGCAGGTCTTGGCTCTCCTTTTCCTGATCCAGTGGTGCAAGTGTTGCAACACTGGTGAAGAGATAGTGAAATGGACTGCTGATACGCCAGTTTGTTGGATTTCACCATAGTAGCCTGTCATCTTGCCTTGTCTTGCTGGTGTAGTCGTTAGAGTCCTTTGGACAGCTCTTCCTCTGCCTATAGCCGTTGGGTCTTACTGGATCTTTGTAAGCGTGTCTGCCTGTTATTGCGAGGGCTCCACTGTTGGTTTTTGGTTTGGGGTTTTACTTCCGTGTAGCCTTGTACCTACCAAGTTGTCAAAAACATGGGGGCAGTGGATGGTAGGCGACAGAACGTGTCCACATGCCAGTGAGCCTATGTGCAGGTCCTCTGGGGCCTCACTAGCTATCCGAGGCACAGCGCACCCAGTTACCGTGTTGTTGCCATGAGGAGGCACAGCAGGAGTCTTGGTGTTTGTGAGGAGGCTGTGTACTGGCGATTGGAGGACTTAAAGTTGCTTCCTTTCTACGAGGCTAGCCAGTGGCGGTAGCTGAGCGAGAGGGAAGCAAGCAGTGTTTGCACTTTAACACTAACACAATGCTGCCACTAGACGCATTACACTACCTGTGCACACACACACACAATAGGGTTCATACACACAAACATACATTACAAATATACAAACAAACACACACATCCGACAAGCAAACGATCCACCTGGCTGACTCACCACGACTCACCTGACTGGCTCACAATGTCTTACCTGGCTGATCCACAGCCAGCTCAACCGATTGCCTCCACCGCTACTTACCTGATTGATTCACCACATCTCACCCAATTGACTCACAATACTCCACCTGACTGACTCTGCCAAGACTCGTGTACTGACTCACTACGATTCACCTGACTGACTCACCACGACTCACTGATTGCCTCATCACAACTCCTCCAAATGTCTTTACCACGACTCACTGACTGGCTCACCACGTTTCACTGACTGACTCACCACGACTCACTGACTGACTCACCACGATTCAGTGACTGATTCACCACGATTCACTGGCACTGATTCACCACGACTCACTGACTGACTCACCACAAGCACCTCACACAATGTCTTACCACGACTCACTGACTGACTCACCACGATTCACTGACTGACTCACCACAACTCACTCTGACTCAAACACCACCACCATCACAACAACTATATCCACCACCATTAAACTCTCCCTAATAATTTTCGTCAAGTAGGTTACGTCTTAATCTTTCAAATCTAATTAAATTCATCGTTTTCTTCTTCTAATATGGGAGTTTGTGTGATTTGAGCTCAGGAGAAGTGGAGGAGCGTCATGATATCAGACCTCGTTCCCTTACCGTCTGTTGTAGTGTTTTTCTTTATGTGGTGAGATGTGGCTGTATGAATAATCCTTCTTACAGTATCATACAAATAGGGTTTTAAAGCTACTAAATCTCTCCGTCCACCGTATTTAATATCTCCAAAAAGCTGTTTCTTCTTTTACAAGTGACCTTTAAGGCAGTGGACCATTAGATTGGTTTAAGTGTTGTGGTGTTGGTCTTAAATATTACACAGGTCTAACAAGATACAATTCTCTCGTTTATATGAAATATTGGTGCAGCGTTTTAGGTGCAGCGAGTGAACTTTCTTATAATTGTTATTCTTTTAACCTTCTCGTTAAAAAATAAAGGCTAAGAGATCGAAACGAACACACACACACACACACACACACACACACACACACACACACACACACACACATACTACCACACTACTATTACACACCTTCGCCACCATTTTATTACCTTAAAATTAACTATCCTAATACATAAGTAACTACCGTAGCTGTGTTCAGTTAGTTGAGCCGCAGATCTATGCGGCATTCAGTAACTGTTGCCTCGTAATCAACATCTGCAGCTGTTGTCGGCCTTGGGGCCGTGCTCTCGTTCCCTAAGGCATAGCAAAGGAGAGAGGAGGACAGTCGACATGTCAACAGGCTCGTAAAATCAACTTCTGGGCTGCTGTTTCTGTTCGGACAACACCTCCGCGAGTCTGGCATAGAGGCATCTTGCACTTGGTCCCATCCCACCAGAAGAGTGACTGCCTTGATCAACGTTCTGAATTCTCTCCCCATATGCCCTAATCTTGTCGTTCTCTGGTTCCTCCTGTTGTGCAGCATCGAAAGCTAGGTTCCTGTGACAGCCGGGCCATGGGACAAAAGATCCTTCTGTCGAGCTCCTGTCATGGTTTTTGGTATGATGGGTGGTAGTAGAGGAGTGGATTATATTATATAAAGATAATAATATGTCGTATTTCTTATTTCTTACCGTAGAGTTCGATACCTTCACACTGATTACTTAAGGGGAGATTATGGCGTATCTCGTAAAGTTTCACTCCACCACTCGACATTCCGCAGTTATATGATAAATGATGATTTAATGAATTCATTTAATTTTCTAGCATCCATCTAGGTTTATTGGTTATACTTTGTCATAACCAATCAGTCATTACCTTTTAATAAGAATAGAATGGGATCACAGATACGGGCAGATAATTGCACTTATATTTATTTGTCAAGCTTCCATACAATGATTTTACAATTTGCATGGATATATGATTCGCTCGTTCACGCTGTAATAAAATTAATCTTCTAAAACAGGGAATTTCAACGCAGGACACATGTGATTACTCTACTGTGGGTATGACTTAACAGAGCTCAATTCTTCAAGTGATACATTTACTGCCAGCCTGGATTGCTTTTGTTACAACCAGGCTTCATCACAAGAACTTCTTTCCACGGCCATAACAACAAAAAGTACTCTTGAGTTACCACACATAGTCTCGCGTCTTTGACTCCAGTCCTGTAGACGGTTTGTCGCGGCAACAGGGCGTAAGTAGCGTGACTTGAATTAACCATTTAGGTGCAATAGGCCAGCCTGGTGCTTTGTCGCAACCAGCTTCCACGTGATATTTTCCGCGGGGATAACAACCTAGAGTTAACACACTTAGTCGTGTCGATCATGGTCCACAGGACGGAGTGGCGTTGGAGGACTCTGTGTGGTGTGGTGTCCCGCTCCCTTTCAGGAGGAGAGGATGGAACGACTTCTTAACTAACCCATGGCTCGGGGATACTACTTAAAATGGGGTTTTTGGGTGTGAAACAATGAACAGTACAACACTGTTTCACTTTGCCAACCTCCCTAAGGCTGGCTAACATGCACTGGTTGAAATACGTGTCCCAGTTAGTACTCGCCGGGCGTCTTATCTCTGGTAAAACAAACTTTGGCGTTGGTTGGTGGGTGAGCCTAACGCAACCCGTGACAGCTCCTGTCCCCCGTCCAGAATCCTCGAGCACTACGTCACATGGGCTTCGTTGGATGTGTTGAGGTCCCTGTGACATAGGTTCTCAGCGTCCAATGGAAGGGGGGCGGTTCCTCCATGACGTCGTGTGGTTTCCTCTTTTAGATTTGCTGTTGTTAGATCTCTTTTTCCGCTATGCCTCATGCATACGAAGCCCTCTTTCTTGCACACTGCATGGCGTGGTCGATGTCATAAGATGAGCACACACGCTTTTGGGGAGAGGCAATCTTCTATTGGCCTACCGGGTACCTTAGATGCAATGGCATCTTGGAATTCTTGTTTGTTAAGGATGAAGCCTTTGCCTTGTGTCGGTAACGTTGTTGTGCTCAGTTCGAGGCGCCCACCTCTCTGCGCTATAGCTTTACTTTTTTCAAGTTCTCTGGCAATTTAACATGGCGTTGTTGCAGTTTATCACTTTGTGTGCTGCCGCCCTGTTGTATTGGACCGTGAATCTTGTTTAATTTGCTGGTATCCACCTGACTAGATGCATTCTGAGCTACTATGGCGGTCAGTGAGCTGCCGTGAGCTTGACCAGAGTTCTGATGTTCTGTTGCGGCAAGCTCCACCGGTTAGTCAATCCCATTCTCCGATCTCAGTAGTAGTGCAAGGAGTGACCTTTCTGCTGGGTTTAAGTAAGTTTCACTAGTGTTGGGATAAAAGTGACATTGGTTGTTTCTTCCAGGGGGCGGAGGAGGTCCGATATCAGGGGATAGTCGCATATATAGGTAATCCAAGCGATGTTTGGCTTCTTGGGTGAATGCCCCATGTGGCTGTTTTAGCAATATCAGACAGGCTTGGATTTCCTTCACCTACTCATTAACCTTTCCCGTTATGTACTCGGTCTTGAAGTACTTTGTGCCAATTACCGCACCTTAATGTCTTTTGCCCTCCTTGTTATTTTTACCTCACTTCCGCCAGATATCTCCATTGCCCGTTCATGGTGTTCTGGCTTCACGATGAAGGATTTTGGATGGCGTTTGGATGGTACCCTATTTGTGGACCTCGTTATGTTGCCAATTCCCACCACTTTTGATGTCCTCACTTTCCTGCTCCTGTTAGGTCATCAGAATACGCCACTTGTTGACCTCAGTTGTTTCACATTTTATTTTGTGTTGGGGCACGGATAAGCCTAGTGTGTGCATTACCAACGACAGGGTCCCCTGAGTTGTTCCCTCGGTTGACTGTGGTGGTATCTCTTAGGGCCTTGAAGTTTGTAGCATAGGGGTCTGCTGAGGGTTCCTATAGGTGTTTTTTTCTATTGCAAGCTGCAACTTGATCTTGAGGTTGTGCAATGTAGCCTTGCGAGTTGATTGTGTTGAATGCGTTGGAAGCGTCAACCCAGAAGTACTACCTGCAATCACGCTGCTCAAATGTCTTTCTCTTGGCGTGAATGGCAGCTTCCTCCATACCTGGCGGCCCTGCACGCCCATGGAGTTCCCTGCGGCTGCCTGACATCATCATTTACACCTCCATTATGTATTTTAATGATCGTCTCAGCACTTCCCCCACTCTATGGCCTACATCCTGGATTTTTATCCAGAATGAGGCAACCGCAAGAATCAGGCATGGAGGTGTTGGCGCAGAGGATGCCAACTTTCTTGCAAGGACAGCAATGGCAGTGCAGAGATCGCTTGCTACGTGTAATTGTTTTATTGCTGGGGATGACTCTCCAACCGTTTGCATCCAGGCCTGGGGCAGGCTCCTCTCGAGTCTTTGGTGCCTTTTTCACACCATCTCTCCTGTTTTTTTGCTGAACAGGACAGCGTTTGGTGGGATATAGGGTCCTTGGAACCTGATGCCTTCATCTTCGCTTGCGGGGATGTTTTTCTTTCAGTTGTTTTAATGTCTCTTGTTTTATTGTCAGGCCCACGGGAGATTTTCTCTGTGAGATCTTACCTCAAAGGTTATTTTTCCCTCCGCATTTGTTTCCAATTCTGCGCACGTCATGTGTTTTTGTTTTTACGTCTCTTCTGAATTTTTGATTTCTCCTGCGGTGTTTCTTGCGTTCACGTAGGAGGTCATCAAGAGAACCCGTTCTGAGCCACATTTTTTTTGTGCTTGAGGACTTTGTGTGTGTCTTCTAAGGAGTAGATGTGGTATTGTTGCGGTATTTGAAGACTAGTGGTTGAGGGCTGTCGTAGTGTATTTGTTTATGAGCGAGTGTCTCCAGGA